AGACTTAAGCTACAGTTCTCACTTTTGTAAAAGACAGCCTATTGTTAACTCATAAGGAGTTAACTTATAGGTCCCGCAGAGGTTTTATCTTATTGCCATCAAGGCTTTGGCAGTACTTGGGGCTTGGCCATACTTGAAAGTTTGAGGGTGTTTAAGTGCTTTGATAATTACAGTTTCAGAATTCCACTTGTTTTATTTTTCCTGAATTTTATGAATAAGTACAGTGAAAAGTCTGATTAAAAGATAAAGCTTATGGAGTTCTTTAACAACAATATCGATGTAATGTGTGGTCCTCCTACTGGAGAAGTAAGTTGGGATTTCCCTACTCAGGAATACAGTGTAGCTCTTTAGCATGAGAAAGCCTCAGTCCATCCTAAAAATAAATAATAAACTCAGCTTTGTTGGAGGTGTTTAAAGATGTACCTCAGTGCTTGGTTTCTATCCTCGTCTTAACAAGGTTGTGTCATTGATAGGAAGACCGTATATTGAAAACATCCACAGCAGTATCTCTTAAAATCCATACTCCAGTATTGGTACAGTGCTGATGTATCTCAAATGAACAGTCTTGTAATGGCAGAAACTCCCCCCAGAAAGGCCACTTGCAACTCCAAGTTATCCTTGGTGAAACTGAGCCAGTTGAGAGATAAGTATAATTGAGATAGTGTTACAGTGAGAAAATGGGTAGCAGATGTTTGGCCTGGAAGAGGTACAATTTTAGATTGAGACAGCCCATGAGAACTGCAGTGGTTCATAAGAATAATGCTTGTGTAACTTTTTATTTCCAGGGCTTGACTAAAGGCCAGTTGTCATTGATCAGGGACCAGAAGAAACCTGATTTGGACATTTGAAACTAAATAAATAAAGCAGTTCTCAGGACACAATGACAGAATTGAAGAAGTCCTTATAAGGTGTTTTTTAAACATCTTCAATGAAATAAAACTTATGTATCATAAAATTCACTCATTTAAAGTACATCCGATAGTGGTTTTTAGTATATTCACAGAGTTGTGCAACCATCCCCACAATCTAAATTTATAACATTTTATAACATATATCACCCTAGAAAGAAACTGTGTACCCCTTAGCAGTGACTCCCTCCTATCCTACTCCCAGCTCTAGGCAACCACTAATATACTATCTCTATAGATTTGTTTGTTCTGGATATTTCATATAAATGCTGTCATGTAATATGTGGTCTCTTCTGTCTGTCTGCTGCCACTTTCCATATTTTCAAGGTTTATCTATGTCATACCTTTCAGAACTTTGAAATGTTTTTGTCAGAGATCTCCTGAACTCAGTTGCAATGCCAGTTCATTTGGACTAATCGAGCCTATGTCCATCTTCTCATTATAGTCTATTCCTCTTGTAGATAAGTGTCAACACTCTAGACAGGTCATAGGAGCAAGTGTTAGAAGTCTAGAAAAAATTTCATCAGGGAACAATAACATCTGATTGGATAACCAGGATATTCCCAAAAGACCTTTTTTGGGGGGAAACAAACCCAACAGTGAAGGGCTTCAGTGAAATTTTCAAGTGGATTCAACATGAACTTACCGCCCAGCCAAGGGCAGGTTGCACCTCAAAAGGAATTTTAAATGTGTTACCGAGGTTCCCAGTGTAAGGCAACGAGAACTTCATCTGAATTTCTGTGAGTTCATTTCTGCCAGTGCCCTGTTACCAAAGTCTAGCAGGAGCACACCTATAATTAAACAAGTTGAGTTCATTGCTCATTTGCAACTGGGAGATCACATACATGGGATCTTTAGGGCTTCTTAGTAAGAGGATGTTAGAAAGGACTTAGAGAATTTGGGATTGTGTTAGGTGATTTTTTAGGGAGGATTCAAGGAAGTGATTTTCTCAGGACTGGTGATGTCAAAGCGGGAATAGTTCTAAGTATCTTAACAAATGCCTAGAAATGTAGACCAAAGTGAACCTAAAGCAGCAGTGACTTTTAGCTGTAGAGGGGGATATTTGGTATTTTTGTGATTGCACAATGACCTTGTTTTTGTCTGTGCTTAAACAAAATTATGTGTTTTGTCAGACCAGTGTGACCTGGTCTGATGTTGGTGTTCTGTGAGATTTGTTTTATGTCCAATGGGAAAACACCAGGGCCTAACTATTGTGAACACCAGGCTCATTCCTAAGTGTCACTAGGCCAGTTCCTAAATATTAGGGTCTGCTTTTCTCTTGGGTATGAAATGAGTTATTGTATTTAAAACATTTAGAACAGTAGCTGGCACATGGTAAATGCTCAGTAGTGGATGGCCACTTATATTTTTTACCACCAGAAGTTTTTCCAACCATCTCAACTAAAACAGTGGTTAACAGAAAACAGGAGTTAGTTTGATGCAGCAGAGCTATCAGACAGCACTCTTTACTGGTGGAAGAGAGTAGCATCTTTCTTGATAAGTTTGCCCTTATTATGTAAAGCTGATTGTTTCTGTACAACAGCTTTACTGTTTCCTAAGGTGAGAGGGCTCTGTTCAGAATTCTTAGCCCTGATTTACCACTGAGAGCAGAATCCCTGTAGTGTAGAAAGGAAACTTGATTTTAATAATTTTAAGAAATATGGCTATCACCTCAGGAGTGTAATATTGCTTGTATATCAGCATTAAATCAGTTCAATTAAAATTCCAGTTTATATAGTTACTTGTGTTATCATTGGTAAAAACCATCATCTCAGGAAAAAAGAGTTTACAAGGTTTATTTTTGCCAATAGTTGCATAGGTGCTATTACACTATATTATAATGTTCACAGTATGGATAGAATTCTAAAAGTGTATTTTGTTTTAACTTAGCTTAGAGTGGTTTTTATTTTTAGCTTTTGGTGAATTTACTAGCCATGGGCAAGAAGAGAATGCCCTTTGTTTTACTTTCCATGTTCACTATCCATTAAATTAGGAATCTAGAGACCAAGCTTTAGATGATATTTCAGAATGTAAAAATAGTTTTAAGAGAGACCTTCTGCTAGATGTATCTTGTACTCCATTTTATTTCTTGCTGACCTGCTTTTTAAGCAAATCTTGACAGTACCAGAATCAGTCCAAAGCAGAAGGTTTTTATTTTCACCTCACTAAGACCCACCCCCTCCTAGAAGTAGTACAGTTTGCTTGATGGTTAGGAGCAAATGTCACTTAGATCAATCTTCTTGTCCTGCCATAATCACACTGCCAGGCCTTTTTTCATATCTATGCCTATAAGCTTTACTATTGCCTATAATTCTGAATAACTGCAGAATATTGCTATAAAACAGAATTTTTTTTGTGCGTCCATGGTGATCAGGTCCAGATATTGGGATTTTTTCCAGTTTTTATCCTAGGATAGATTGAAATGTTAGTCTTCTTTTAAGGGAAAAACTGAGCATGGGAAATTGACAAATGAACAGTTTTTTCTTAAACAAAATGCAGCATTATCTGGCCTCCCAGCCCACATCTGAATTAAAAAACAAATTGGAAGAATTGGGAATAAGTTGTTTAAGTAGGCATAGAGGAAAAGCATAAATGTCTTTGACAATAAGGGAGAGAAAAAAAGAAAAGGCATGCATAGAAATGCTAAGCTCACACCAGTAAGGATGAGATGGTGGAGGGGTAGTCAGGAAGAATGGGAGTGCAGTTGAGGATGAATGTAAACGCATACAGTCTTGTCTCCTTTCAAAAAACCTCTGTCAGTGTAATAGAACATAGTGTAATAATTGGTGTTCTTGATTTTTGTGAGTCATCAAGCAACAAAAAACAATTATATTTAGTATTCTTTTATTTAAAAAGTCAAGACAAAATGTAACCCTGTCACAAATTTTCTAGCACAAATGATTTTATAAAGTAAGTTTGGATGCCTTTTAAAAGGGATTTCATTTTTTGGAAATTTTTACTTAAGTGGAAAATGTATTCATTTCCTAATAATGTTAGCTAATTGAAGTGGTCCAAAGGGAAAACTGAAGTATTAGATTCTAAATTTTCATTGGAAGGAAATTTTATCCTCTGTGTCTATTAACAGGTGATACTTATTAAATCTTCCCATATACAGTGTTGTACAAACCGTTATAATTAGTACATTTCAGCTTTCATTAAAATATTTCAATTGAAAGCTTGCTTGCTGTTAATGAACTACACAGCTTCAGCTGCTCTCATTTGTTCATCGGTGCAGCACAGCTTATTTGAACATGGTTAAGACATTGGCACAGTTCAGTACCTGATGATAACAGACGAGTTTGTTTAGATCTTCCCTCCCACTAAAAACAATTACTTTTTAAAAGGCACCTTAAAAGTATTTGAAAAGATGCTCAGGGTACTGCCAGGTTAATTTTAGGCAGATAGCCTGCCCCAGAGAGATAAGCAGATAACAGAGCACTAAAACCAGTCTTTCTCTAAGACATTTGTCAAAACACAGTGCACTTTCATTCAACTCAGAGTGAGGGAAATAGAAGTCAAGACCCAGAGGATGTGAAAGTTGTGAAAGACCCCGAAATTCTATACTGGCACAACTAAAGCTGTTCTGCTTCCTCCAGACTCCAGGAGACTGTTCAGATAGCTGTCTTGGCAGTGGGCAGAATAGAAGATCAAAAGGAAAAAGGGGGAAACACATCCCTGAGAAGTGTGGCCACCGCCCAGCCCTCTTGCAGATTTACATCTTGATTATGCCAAAAATAAGTTTTAAAAAATAAAAACTGAGTGGTTCCTTAAGTGGTTATAACGTTTAATTGTGTGTAAATTTTCATTTAGTTTATATTCGTATTACTCCGCTTGTTTCTATAATTTATATCAAAGAAATATTCCTAAAAGAATTTAAGTAGTAATATAAGGCTGTTGTCTTATATATGATTTCTTTTTAAATCACATAAACGTTTAATTAAAGTAAAATATTATAAAACACTTATTTTTGATTAATAATTGAGGATATACGTATACATTAGTCTGTGTTTAGAGACTTGGAGGTACAGCTTGCAGTTAATATCTTGGCTTATTTACACCAAAGTATTGACAGGTGTCCTCTTTTATTTGCAGGCTCAGTAGATGAAGGCGTCACTGAAGGGTTACCTACACTTCAGAGCACTTCTAGCACTAATGCTCATGCAGATGATGATGATCGGTTAGTACTAACATAGTATATCATTTTCTTGTGAGGGCTGTTCTTGCAACTCTTAAATTTAAGCATTTTGCCTTGGAATCATATAAGAAGTTTATTGAGACCTCACTGGTGTATTTTTCAGAATTAAGATAGCATCATCACATCATAACTCGGACCACTTAAACAAGGGTAATTTGGGATTTCCAAAACTACCTAGTCCTAGCACTTTAAATAGTATCTATATAAGAGTTGGCAAACTATGGACCACAGACCAGTTCCAGCCCAGCAGCCTTTATTTGTAATCAAGTTTTATTGGAATACAGCCACATTCATTTACATACTGTCTGTGGGTGGCAGAGTTGAGTGATTGAAACATCATGTTGGTGTGCAAAGCCAAAAATACTGTCTAACCTACAGAAAATGTTTGCCAAACCCTCATCTATATACCCATAATTCCCAAATCATTATCTTCAGATTGACCGTCCTCGCTTGATATTTTCAAATAGGTATATAAGGGGCATTTCAGAGTTAAGATGGCCAAGACAGAAATCTAGACTTCTAACTCCCCTTCAAAGCCTGCTCCTTCAGTCTTTCCCATCTCAGTCAACAGCATCATCATCCCCCAAATTTTCTCAAGCAATGTCTCTGGGAGTTAGACTTGATCCTTCTTTCCCTCATCACTCTCTTGCCCCACCCCATATTTAATCCTTAAGCAAGTCCTGTCAGGTCTACCTCCAGAACATATCCCATATCAGTCTACTTTTCCTCTGCCTCCACTACAACCACCCAAGACACTACCATCTTTTGCCTGGACTACTACAATAGCCTTCAACTGGCCTCTGATTTCATTTCTTCCCCTACTCCAATCATTCTCCATGTAGCAGCTAGAATGATCTTTTTCTTTCCATTGTCAAGTTATGTTGCTGTTCTAAGCAGTAGATTCTTAAAAATTTTCCATAAATTCATACGTAAATATAAACTACTTGGTATGCCTTTTAAAGCCCTACATGATATGACTTCTGCCTAACTCCCTTCAGACCAGTCTGTTCCTTGCATACTATATTTTAGCCATATAGATCTCCTTTCTGTTCCTAGAATATCCCATATTTAATTCTGCTTTTGGACCTTTCTGCCACTTAGAGCCTTTACTCTCCCTGAAGTGCTTTCTCCCCTGCTTTTTACATTATTGGCTCCTTCTTGACTTTCAGATAACAGTCTAAATGTCAGTTCTCAAGGAAACCTTTCCCAACCACCAGTCTAACATAAAGCAGCACCAGTCACTATTGGATCACCCTATTTTAATTCTCTGTTCTGAAAATTTTCATGAGTATTTTGTCTCTGACCACCGAATATAGACTCCACTGAATTAACTCCATACAAAGTCCAAGACAGACTTAAAAACTGTTAGTTGCAAACTTGAAGAATTCAGAGAACTCAAAGTCTATTCTTGAATAGCTAAACCTGCTAGATCAGGTTATATACTAGAGTCATTTGAATAAATTAGTGAAAGTGTAAACAAATGAAAATGTGCCGAGGCTCCTTAATTTCAAACATTAATGAGGTCATCTGTTCTATACCAGATACTTTGCTAAGTGGTGGAGATACTAGAGCTGAAATATGCAGTCCTTGTCCTTAGAGATCAAAC